GGCAATTTCTTAGCATGTGATTTTCTTCTCCACAGCCAAAGCATCCCATCTCTTGATAGTTCTGAGTCTGGGTCATGGCTGGAGCTCCTTGATATCCTACTCCAGGCACAGGAATACGATTTGGACCAGTTACTGGTGGTCCAGTTTGTACTGATTGAACAGCTGGTGGCTGTTGAGTAGTTTGTACTGCTTGCACGGGTTGTACAGGCCTCGGTTGTGAATAATACATGTTCCCACGTCGTACAGGGGGAGCAGGTTCATTAGGATTGGGAGGTTGTTTGACCATTTTAGCGACTACTGGGTTGATCAGGTAGGCCTGAGTGTACAATCCTCGATATGTGGGATCAGTGATTGACATTTCTGCCAGACGATTGATGAGCGAATTTAGGTCCACAGCCTCAGGAGCTTTCTTCTGATTTTTGGACTTGGAAGAGGACTGTTCCTGAGGTGGATCAGGCTTTGTCCTGCCTCTGGAGTTCCTCTTTGATTCTTGTTCAAGTCGCTCTTTAACAAGCTTCTCAACAAGTTCGTCTAAGTCAGAGGTATCAGCCTTGCGACTATGTTTAGTACGTCGTGAGCGCTTACCTCCTTTAATGTCTTCATCATCACTGTTCTCGTCTCGTCGAGATTTGCGCTGTTGCTTCTTCTTAGTGAGCTTCCTCTTCTTGTCCTTTCTTTGACGTTTGCGCTTGTAGTCACGGTCACTGTCACTGTCCTCCGAATCATCAGAGTCGCTTTCCTCAGATGAGGATGAGTCTCTGTCTGAACCAGAGTCTGAGTCATCACTTTCAGAGTCGGACTCATAGTCACGATGCTTCCTAGACTTTGTCTTGCGACTCTTTGATCGCCTGGACCTTTCCAATTCATCATAGTATCTGTGACGTATGAATTGGTCCTGGATCATTTTGTCGACAGTGGCCATAGGAATGGGATCGGTAAGAGTAGCACCTCTATTTTGGTTAATAAAGCGCTCTTGGAGTTTCTCTCTGAGGTCACGTTCGATCCCCATGAAGAACTGTCCATCTCTTTGTCGAATGGTGATCATGTCTTTAGCGAGTAACCATCCTGCAATGGTCCCGAACTGGCGATTGTATCGTTTCCATGTCTCGAGGTTACCCATCTCTCTCTTTTCCCACTTGCGTGTGAGCTTGGTCAAGTCTTTGACATTGTATCGAGTGTCGACTCTCTCAGCATCATAGAAGTGCAAGAGGTCTTTCTCGAGACTGTCCCAATCTCTGTTGATGTAATTGATGTTGGACTCGATGAACTTTTCTTCGGTCCGTCCAACATAGTCTAGAAGTTTCTCACACTTCTCGTTGTCAGTGACGACATTGTATGCTCGACATAGTTGAACGTATTGTCGAAGGAACTTGCGAACATAGGTGTAGTCACCCTTGAACTTCTTTGGTGCACCTTTGTTTGGGGGAAAAGGCATCATTTCAGGTGTACGATCATGGTAACGTCCACGACTGTATGACCTATGTCTATGGTGTCCATGTTCATCATCGTCTGTGTTGGATGAGATGATGCGTACAGGTTGGTTGCGGAGGTGAGGAGAATTTGTGAGGTCAGAGTCACTTGAAGGTATCTCTGATACTGTTTCAGCAGGTGAACTGAAGTTTGCAGGAGCATCAGTCTTTCGTCTGATGTTTAGTGGATTATCTGGCGTTGGTTCATACTCTGATTGATAAGGTAAGAGTTGAGCTCGACCCTTACCATATATAGTAGAAGTAGACGCACCCTGGTTACTTGAACTGATGTCTACCATGGGAGTAGTGAAGGACATTATGATGTTAGATGTAGTTGATGATGATGTAACTTGACGATGACCAAGCTAGATGATGATCAATGTTTATGTTGACCAAGTTAAACAATGACTAACTTGATGTTGTTTGTTGATGAGTGATACTAGTTGATGTCTTAGCAATGGACGATGACCAAGACTTGACGATTACTGAAGCTGATTACTGATGAGATGATTAAGTGAGATGTCACTGTTACTGCTTACTGAAGTGTGACAATCTTTTCAAAATTCGAAGTCGTTTAGGGACTTAGAAAGTTTTGCAATAGCTTCGCCGTAGGGGCTGCGAAGGTTTGGAAGCTGGAAAAATTTTGCAATAGCTCCGCCGTACAAATGATAAGTTCGTGAGGCTGAGAAAATTTTGCAATAGCTTCGCCGTGTGATCTGATGGAGAAAGGGAATTCGGTGAAAGATGGATGGAAATGGAAGGACTGGTGAAGGTTAACGATGAACAGATAGCTCCCTCGCGGTGGGCTCCAGAAATGTAGCGTACCTCGGTTGTTTGCCGAAAAATACAACACTTCCCTCAACTAGATCTCGATAGGACTAGTCTGAGGTTTGTTCGTTGAGCTAGGTATACTTGTAGTGACCGTTTACTGTAGATCGTTATGACAATTACCAGTTGTTCCTTAGTGAATAGGAGGGATTATGGATCGCTGATGAGGGTTGTTGAGGTCTTCGTGCTTGTCTCTCAGGGTTTCGTGAATCCTTATGACAATGGCGGCGAGTATGATACAGGTAACAACAATGGTGAGCTTAGTGCTTCTTTTCTGTGAGCTTATAGCTTCTTTACGAGTCTTGTTCTTGAGAGAAATCGTTTCTCTAATACAGTTACTGAATGGTTCTGGGTCTTGAATGGTCTTGAGAAGGCTGAGATCGAGCTTGAGGAAGCTTGAACGAAGTCTTAATACTGTTACTGAAAGCTGGAACTGAATATCTGACAAATTGTCTGAACAATGTTGGTCACTGTGAGCAACGATGAGCAGACAATAAACAGACTTACTGTAAGTCTGCTTGCTGAATCAACACTACAACAGAGTAAGCAACCACTGTGGTCCCTACTGCAGTTGAATATTGAGGGTGACCTTACCTTGGCCCACTGGATGGGGGATGCAAAGAAGATATATTTTGGCTGGGGCACCCTGGCCCTTTTATACTACTTTTCTATATTACGTAATTTACCTAGTCTTGAGATATTATTAATGGTTATGGCCCTGCTAAGTGTCTAGTGTTTCAAGTCTGGCTAATTATAACTTTTATGCTGACTAACACTTTGGTGACTTGGCTGAAACACTTATCTGAAACACTTTGGTTTTTACCATTTGTAAGCAATGAGTTCTTGTGGTGCTTTCTTGCTTCCCTTTCCCCTCTTCATTAATCCTCAATAAATTCCCTATTCCACTACTAAACCTTTATGACGTGTTGTTTTTGCTTCTGGGACATCACCTTGTCTCATACTATCCCATAACACGCTTTAACACGTTATAACACGTTCTATACTGCTCGGGTATTTTGGTAGGAGGTACTGGGGAGTGATCCTTTAGCTTGGGTCCAGCTGAAACAGATTATTTAAGCATACGTGCCTTAATTTACAGCTTTTGCTGAAGTAATCCAAAGCTGTTCAAGTGTTTCAGGGTTGTTTGGAAAGCTTAATAACACTTTGGTCTAAAATTACTCTCTTGTGCTGAAGTAATTCAAAGCTGTTCAAGTGTTTCAAGGTTGTTTGAAAAGCTTAATAACACTTTGGTCTAAAATTACTCCCTTTTGCTGAAGTAATTCAAGACCTCACAAGTGTTTCAAGACTGCCCTGCATGCTTAATAATGTATGTTTGGTGTTTCAGGCTCTTAGTAAGCCTATCAGAGGTTCCTAGCCATGTATTTCCATGCTTCCGCGGTTCTGTGGGGGATTGTCAGGGTCCATCAAGGATCCTCATGATGCGCGCCTGCATCATGATGAGTCGGCTGATGCATCATGACTCCTCTGATGCGGCTGCGCGTCATTACGGCTTCCGGAGTCATCGCGGCGACCTTGTGAGCACTGCCTTCAGTTACAGGCACGGAGTTCTCACGGTTTGACAGTTTTTATTAGGCTGTGCGCCTCATGCTGTGCTCACCTCATGCCTTGCTCACATAAGCTCCGCTTTTACTGCAGGCTCAAGCTCCTGCCAATCACCTCTATTTCTGCAGAAACAACTTTTCTGCGGGACACCGCGCCGAGAAGAACTATTGTCTGGAATTGGGGAGGGAAAAGATAACAAAGACGTCTTCAGACCGATGATATGAGCAAGTGAAGATGAAGGAGATTTGAGAATGTCAGATGATGCACCAGTGAGTCGATATCATTGCAATTATATGCTCACTGACTGTGTAATCTTCAGATCGCAAATACCTTCTTGATGTTTTTTGTTGGGCATGGTAGCAAGATAATTTGACCATCATGACCATCTTCTGGATCAGTTTTGAGCACAACGGTCTCGGTGATTTCTCTGATTATGAATACAGCAGCTGTGCGAGCATCAGGAGCTTCGTTGATATGGCGGGATCAAGACTCACTAAAAAGACGAGCAGTCTCTAGGAAGCATGCTTGAACCTCACTACACTTTTGATATCCTGGTAGATTTCGTCTTGAACATCTTCATACAAAGCAAGGAAATTAATTGCGGCATTGAACGTCTTTGCGGTGGTTTCTAGAAAATCTGTCAATTAGCAGTCAAATATCAAAGCTAGATGGATCCTCGGACCCGCATCATTGTCAATATGATTGGTCTGCGTGAGTATTGGTTAGTTCCATGAGTCCTTGACTGAGTAATTGAAAGATCACAACCCCAAATATTTCCCGGAGCCTGGGGAGTTTCGACCTTCACGGTGGTATAGCGCTTCTGAGAGTAGGATGACAATGTTTTCCATGGGCTCTCGTGCCTGTACGTCAATTCAAGATACAAGTACTTCAGGTATCGGACGTCGTTTTTCCCTGACTGAATCTGTGGCCTTTTTGAGTCATCTTCTGTGGGACTGGAAGTTCATATCTTGAATCCCTGCGAGACTCGTGATCAGCGGCGCAAAAGAGTCATGAAAGGGAGGTCGTTGATGACATTGGGAGTTGGTGGAGTTCCTGTTCATTTTTTATGCAAATGAACTTGGTATGCAGTGATTTGAATTTAACAGGAGAATAAAATCTTGCAATTTCTTCACCTTTCGGTCCGGTATGGTGTAACGGCTAACATTGCCGCCTTTCATAACCCTCTTGAATAGCATTAATACGCGGCAGCTCGGGGTTCGATTCCCCGTACCGGAATCTTTTTTCTACCATTGTCCTCTGTTTCTCTTTTCGTACCTTCCCTTTGTGTGACAGCCTTGTTTCTCGTCGGATTTTTTCTTCCAGTCAGGTATCGGAACAAGAATGGTATCTCATTTTTGACGAGTCGACGGTTTCACGACTTTCCATCTCAGATTTCGCCCGCTATTTCCTCGTTTCTCTGACCATAACTGGTTATAGTAGTGCGGATGGCGCTGCGGAACTGTCAACGTGCTTCTGCACTTGGAAAGGTGGCCGCCTTATCTTCAGGGACAGAAGCACAAATGCCGTCATCTGACTGCCTCGAGGCTTAAGTCGAGTCGTTTGTCCTAAATTTGGACGACTCCTCTCAGGGACTTTCTTTAACCACGTCGTTTCAAGATGTCCCAATCCAAGTTCAAAGCGACAGTGGAACCCGTACTTAGTATCTGAAGATAGATAAGTGCCCTTTTGACGCGAAAAGCCGCTTATATATCAGTGATGTTTGTTGCTAAATTGATCTGTGCGCTTCTGTGCGCCGATCGGATTTTGCTCTTGTTTACGTTTCACCTTTGACCATGCGATGCTTTTTGTCTCTGAACCATCATGGCGACTCTTTCTGCTCCTCCAGCGATTGAACCAATCTCACCCACCGAGACACAAAACCCTACGATGATCGTTTCTTCTGCAAGCTCGACCCAGCTGTCGGCTGGATCCTCAGCGGGCTTGGCTGGACCTTCAGGGTCATTGACATCCATCTCGACGGCTCAAAGAGAATCAGCTCCCAAACGCAAATTTAATAGATTACAGGGAGAAGCGATTCCAATGATGCAAAGTAAGCCTCTTCACCCTCTTCACCCTTTTCCAAGCTCATAAAAGCCTGTAGAATATTTTGACAATTCTCCCAATCTCAATAAAGCGCAAAGAACTGCGATTCTTGCAGAGCTACACGTCAGTCGCGTTGTTTTCCGTTGCTGCAAACTCCCCAATAAAGATACCTCTTTCCAGAAAATCCCGGGGCACGAAGGTTTCACCCATAAAAGTTTGGAAACGATGTGGACAAACAAAAGGAAAAAACTCAAGGAACGAACCGGTAGGTCTGGCATAAAAATTCAATCTCTTGGCCAACGTGTCTTTTTCTTTCTTTCTTTTTCTCACAGCAGCAGCTGCGGCCGCTGCCGGTCAACTCACGTCCCTTCGGCAACAATGGCTCGACGAGACGCAAATCTCCAATTTGCGGGACCTTCTGAATGGGAACCCAAATCCGGATGAAGCCACTGTTCAACGCTGGGCTGATACGATGCTTAGAGTGGACACCAATGAAGTTCGAACTTGGATACAGAGAGAAATCGCTGAACGCGCTGCACGACGTGCTGCTGAGACCAATCCTAATCCCGAATACCAACCTCCAACGCCAGCAGGCTCAACGTCGCCAGAACCCATGTTTGATGTAAAATTCGACCAATATGACGCTAGGGATTCCATGGATGTCGACGACATGAAACCGTCTGTCTCTTCACCCATTTTCTCCTCACATTCCATCGCAAGTCCAGTTTCGTCCAGTTTCACGTCTCCCGAACCAGCTTCGACGAGTTTTCCTTCTTATTCACCTATTGTATGCGTTGGTTTTTTGTTTGCCAATGGTGACCTGACCTTTTCCCTCTTAGATTTCTAATTTTCAGTCGCCTCCACCACCATCGGTGAATCCATACCAGACGACCGAGTTTTTATCCCGAATTGCTGCCAATTTGCATGCTCCGAACCCGATTTTCGATGCGCCTCCCCCACGTAATCTAAAGGAGCTAAACCAACGTTTAGCTCTCATGGAAGATATGATGCACCAGCTGCTACGGAAATTGGGTTCCCCTTCATCATGATCCATACTGTACGTGTGTTGTCCTTTTCTTGTCTGTTGTTTCTTTGCTGACAACAGCTCTAGAATATTGCATACTTTTCTTTTCAATGTTCTCCATCTGCTCTCGTCATGTTTCCTACCGAAAGCCCATTTGTTGTTGTATCAGTATAAGTAATTAATTGTTGTCAGATTACGAACGGGCTTCTGGTATGTACCTATATACGCATTGCATCTGGACATTCGCATCATTCGTTCACTTCATATTCTTGCACACTACGACTTCTTTCCACCTCTGGAGCCCAATTACATGGAGCCCTGAGCCGGGATCTTTTTTTTGCCTCATGTCGCCGGGGATATCCGGTTGTCGATATATAATTGGCTGACCCTCTAATCTTCCTCGATTCAGAGATTCCAAGTCCATCCCGAGCCATTGGAAATTTGGAAGAGCAAATTGGTGAGCGTAAGTGCGTCCGTCTGAAGGTGCTTCCGCGGGTGCCGACTATGATCAGACCCTAAAGTTACGGTTGTCTGCTTTGTCTCGAGCGGTTCCGTCGAATGAAAATCCTTGTTTGAGATCCTATGTATGCAGCGTGTTTCAGCTTCCTGACGACGGCGGACGGGAGAGCAAGCCAACGACCTTGTTCCAAATCCGAGCCGGTCACGCTGTCACAATCTCCGATCGAGCCTTTGTTCTTCAACAATGCAGTGAGAAACGCCACTCTCCTTGTTCTTGTCCTCCATCTCCCATTCTCTTACCTCCCCTTTGACCATTCATGCTTAAGCGGATGGCTGATAGGTTTCATTTACCGGGACATCACCACCACCACAAGGAGCTGCCAGAGATTCAGCTTCCTCCGTCGCCGGTTTCTGCACAGTCGGTGTCATCAGCAACATTCGCGAATAGTTATGAATATAGAGGCTCTATATCGACAGAGAGGACGTCGTTGAGCGAATATAGCAAACGTGGCGACAGTCTCGATTTTCCCGAAACCGCCGCTCCTGCAATGCCACGCGTTCGTCGACCCAAAGGCTCGTACAAGCTTCAAGATTTTATCATTCAGCGGACTTTGGGGACTGGGAGCTTTGGACGGGTACATCTAGGTCAGAATTCTATTCGTTTCGTTACACCGATGCTTATCGTGAATCACAGTGAGAAGCAAGCACAACTTGCGGTTCTATGCAATAAAAGTCTTGAACAAGGAGAAGGTTGTCAAGATGAAGCAGATCGAGCATACGAATAATGAGCAAGGGATCCTCCAGACCGTCCAGCATCCTTTTATTGTCAACCTCTGGGGCTCCTTTCAGGACACGTCAAATCTGTACATGGTTATGGATTTCGTGCCTGGAGGAGAGCTGTTTACGCTTCTGCGAAGATCAAATGTAAACATCTTGTCGTTTCTTTTTTCCAGACTTTGATTCTTGTCCAGAGATTTCCAGACCCCGTCGCCAAATTTTATGCAGCAGAGGTAGCGCTGGCGCTTCATCACCTGCACTCTGCCGACATTATCTACCGCGACCTCAAGCCCGAAAACATTTTGTTGAACCAGGATGGACATATAAAAATTGCCGATTTTGGATTCGCCAAGGACTGTTCCACAAATACGTGGACCCTCTGTGGGACTCCCGACTATCTCGCACCAGAGGTTAGATTTCAGTTCTTCCTATTCTTAGGCGGTTGCTAATTCGATTTTGAATGAAGATCATTGCCCAAAGTCGATACAATAAATCCGTTGATTGGTATGCGCTCGGCGTCTTGATATTCGAAATGCTTTCTGGACTCCCACCTTACCACCAACCCGAGGCAAACCCTGTCGTTCTGTACGAAAAGATTACCCGGGGACCAGCACATATTCGATGGCCAGCAGCATTCAACGAAAATGCCACAGACTTGATTCTCAAGTTGATGGAAGGAGATCCGTCGAAACGCTATGGCAACTTGCGACATGGAGCCGGCGATGTTTTTGCACATCCGTGGTTTCGCGAGGTGGACTGGCAGAAATTATATGCTAGAGAGATTACAGCGCCCTATTTGCCCAAGATTACTGGAGACGGGGACGCCAGCGCGTGAGTAATCTTCCCAGTCTTCCCTGCTCTCTGCTGATACCTTTGCCAGATTTGACAAGTATCCGGAAGACAATGTTGCAGCTGCCTATGGGCTTCCGACACCAGACCTCTATGGTCAAGCCTTCCCCGACTTTGACTATGCGATACCTTCATGACCTGTATGTACTGGATATTTGGATTCTGTAACAAAAGGCTTCCGAGCCAGAGACTTTCTTCTTATGGCATATTCTTCCTTATACATTACTTATCTCAACTCTTGTGCTGCTGGCTAGTTGTACTTTTATCACGCAAAAAACATCACGATGGTTGATTTGAACTTGGTGCAAAATATTAAATAAGATCTCACGAGTCACGCCTCATCGCTATCCGAAAATGCACCTGCAAGCTCTTTGGTCCTCCCAACACGGTCCCGAAATCTCTGTGCCTCTTTGCTCATTCGAGAACTAGATCCTAATCACCGCCAGCATTCGATTCATCCAAAAACGAGCCCGAACCGTGCGCCAGACGAAAAGATTGCGCAAATAAACGCGATCAGCCATATATTATTCGGCAATTTGGGTGGTATGCGCTGAATGGCTCCGAGCAAGAAATGGAAGGCAGCAGATGAGAAGGAAAGGGTCATCACGGAGAAGAGGCGAGAGGCCCAGGCAGTCAATGACCAGCATGATTCTTTGGCAAGTCCTTACCTTTTCTGCTATGCTCGTTTCTCAATATTATACAGGTCAGAGAGCTCTTTCATATGGAGAACTTCCGCATGATGCTCAGTTATAATCCAGAGGTTCGTCTTTGAATCCTGATTCTCCGACTTTCTTGCTCATGCAATTTGCAGGAGGCCAAGAAAGATGAGAGTAAAGTATTTCAGAATGTTGGTGCATTCTTCATTCATAATGTAAGATAAAGCTAATGTTATCTACAGTTCAAGGCTGAATTCGACCTTCTGGACAATCTCGACGCTGGACTTTCCACTCGTAGAACCCGTGCTATTAAGGGGCAGCTTTTGCCTTCCACATCATCCCTTTCTGCCCCCCCGAGGATAACCCCATTGTCAAGAGTGGCCGCAAAGGGCAAAGGGAAAGCAGATGTAGAGTCGGCTTCGGTCGGT